ATTAAGTAGGACCCACGGTCACAATTGATGTATAGTTAAAGTTGCTGAAGTGGCAATTGGGACCATATATTTGCTCGGTGTTGGAAACTTGAACTGAAACTGGAAGTCCTCCTATGCCGAGTCGTTTGGTATATAAGAAGACTGTTGGCTCTTGCGGTGTCGTTTAATTTATGCACTCATTAATGGTCAGTTGAAGGCAATTTTTAAGCACTCTAAATAAATCATGTGCAACATTTCAGTTGAATAATCTTGAGAACTATTTTTTTTATTCAATTATTATATCGTATTTTTTGCACTAATTTTGAGCACTCATTAAATGGGTAGAGCATGTGGCGACAGAGGAGCAGAGTTCGAAATCCGGCAAAAAATCCGGTTGGCCCAATCGTAAAGACTTCTAAAAATGGAGTCAGTAGTCAACAAATAAAGTACAGTATTTTTATTGGGAGTGTAGGATCCCCTGCAGATTTAGAAGATCTCAAACGCTAATAGTACAAAGTACAGTATTTTTATTGGGAGTGTAGGATCCCCTGCAGATTTAGAAGATCTCAAATGCTAATAGTACAAAGTACAGTATTTTTATTGGGAGTGGAGGATCCCTCGCAGATTTAGAAGATCTCAAACACTTTTGGAAGCCTCCATGGAAGCGAAGAGAGAAGCAGAAGAAAAAATAACAAAACAGTATACAAATATAAACAAATTTTACATATAGTCCAACAAAAACAAAAAGCTGTACTTTCCCTCCCTATTTTATCCTATTACACATATGACAACTTTCCCCTCTTGTATACATTCCGGGAGCATGATCAACAAGTACGCGTCAATATCGCCCAAAAGAACCACCACATGAAGTAGGGTTCCACAACACCTATTATGGAATCGCAACAACATGTGATGATTCTTTCGGCGATATTCAGACGGCGACTTATTGTCATTGCTCCCCTCCCTGCCTCTAACAAAGACCCTGCATGGAGAGAAAAGGAGAAACAATACAACGAAGGATTTAGTTTAACAGTCATGATCTAACAATGACATAATGAAAGGAAATGAGATCTAAAATAATACGCAATCTCATCATTACCACTGCACCTGAAAATAAAGCATGGGATAGGAGGACGAAGAGGCGGATGGGGTTGATTTCCGGAGTTTCATATTGAGAAGATGGAAGAAAGGGTTCTTTTCAGGGATTGAGAGGAGGAGGAACGAACAGCAGCATGAGATGAGTGCCACTCGGGTTTCAGAGCACGGTCTCTCCTTCACTGATTAACGAATTTATAGATTGACTCGTAATTACTTTTACTTTCCCTCCCTTCACATTTACTGAAAATTACACTCTCTACCACTGCCTCGGCCTTGGTAACGCCAGCATTGGTTATGGGCAAAAGCGACTTTCCGAATTCGGCAATATCTGATTGGGTGACACGCACGCGACAAGGATCGAAGGTATTTCACCATCGGATTAAGGAAAAAGTTTAGGAGTTGACGGTGGAAAATGGGGATGTACTTTTATAAATAGTCTGAATTTGTAGATTAACTAACTTTTTCGTTTACCAACATTACTCTATTGATCTGGTTTATGTTATTCTAACTTGAATCATAACCCTAAACCCTAAACCAAACCCTAATACACGAACCAATCAATACCATATACTCTACAACAATAACAACACCTTATAGGCTTATACCGTAACCAATCAATAACATATATACTTTAAACCATCAACACCTTGCTCCTCCCTTATACCATAACCTTCAAGACCTTATACTGTATACCAACAACACCTTCTTCTATCTCCATCCCCAACTTTCAATTTATAATAAGTGTTTCCTTTGAAATATAAAATGGAACCCACATTGGCAATTGCTAGCATAATTTAGGGATGTAGATGAATAGAAATTGTTAAGTGATGAATTGCTAAAATTTATGATGTGGCGGTAGGGACCTCGTTTAGAAATTGTTGTTCAATTTTAGGGATGAAGATGATCAATACACTAACCCAATACCATATACTCTAAACCATCAACACCTTATACAATATCGTATTTTAGGGATGGAGATGATCAATACACTAACCCAATACCATGTACTCTAAACCATCAACACCTTATACAATATCGTATACCTATATACTGATAAATTAAAATTATAACTTGCTTTTCAAAACATAAATTAAAAATTGATCGAACCACAAACCTCTACTTTATTGACTAAGCAAATAACATACAATTAACCAATTAAGCTACATCACATTGATGACCATCTTGCATAATTTCGCTTTCTTATTAAGTGAAGGGTTAAAATGAACGATAAATATATCACAAGGGATTGTTTCAACTTCGGCGGGGACTGAGAGAGTGGAAAAGGGTTAATTATTCTACAAAAAAAGAAAAGAAAAGGGGAAATTAACGAAGAGTTAAATTGGACGGATTGTCTTTAGCACGCCACTACCACCCAAAATCCTTCGGAGCAAAGACATGTTGGTTTAAGTCAAAGAATAAATGAAGAAAGATGAAGTTAAGAACTCTAACTAATTTTGATTCCATATGTGGCGAATCGCTAATGGGCGGGATAACCAACATGGAAAAATCGTTAATGAGAACCTACTTTGCACACACCAAATCATTTTATCTCGTACCGATAAATGTGTAAAGAGACACGCTACAATAATTATGTCTAAATTTCCTGATAATAAGGCATGATCAGCATTTATAAGAAGATGTTAAGACAATATAAAATCGAGAAAAATAAAACAACACCTACCCTCAGCCGAATCAATCAATACAATATGCTCTGGACCATCAACAATTCAACACCTTATAAACCATCTCATATACCATATACTCTAAACCATATACCATATACTCTAAACCATCCCATATACCATATACCATATACTCTAAACCATCAACAACCTAATACACTAACCAGTCAGTAATCATTAACTTAACCATAAACACCTTATACAATAATCGCATACCTATACGCTGATAAAATTTTACATTTTGAAAATACTTGCCCAAGTAAAGTACACAAGTACTTCAAAAGTGAAATTCTAACTTTCGTTTCAAAACATAGATTTAAAAAATGTCTTCACTAAGTATCCAACCACAAGCCTCTAATTAGTCTACAAGAGGTTTGTTATGTCAAGAGGGGCAAACAGTGAGAGAGTGGAATATGGGCAATTAATAAAGAGTTAAATTGGGCGGATTGTTTTTTACCTCGTACCGATAAATGTGTAAAGAGACACGCTACCATTTACCGAATCCCAAAAAAAAGATGGAACACATAATTGTGTTTAAGTTGCGTGAACGCAAGACATGATCAGGATTTAGAAGCAGAAGCAGGCGCAGATGTAAATAAAAGCCCAACCTCTTCACAATCCGAATCATGTACACAAGCCCACTTTTGAAGAGAATTTAAAAGCCCAACTAGACTTTGTCCTAAACGCACCGTTAATACATAAACACAAGTTAAGGCGACCTCTCCATCCGATTCGAATCAAATCCTGTCTTCTTCATCTTCTTCCTCAATTAGGTCGAAGACTGTGTTGCTTATTTCATCTTCAATTTGTGTAAATTCCGGTCGGAAATATAATGGCGAAGAACAAAAAGTCGATTGTGGATACAAGGAAACGATGATTATGTGGAGATTTTTGATTCCGGTCGGAAATAAAATGGCGAAGAACAAAACGTCGATTGTGGATACAAGGATTTGTGATTCAAAATGATGATTATGTGGGGATTTTAGATTGAAAATGGATACATAGATTTGGGGTTCAAAACATGATGCTGTTGGGGATTTGATATTGGATTGGGAGCTAAATCGAATTTCGATCAAATGATAAAAAGGATTTCAGATTTCAGATTTCAGAAACGATGATAAAAGGATTATGTTCGAACTTCGAACTAAGAGGGGACATCCCCTCCAAGACGAATGAGGGACTAGAAATTGGTTAGGGAGGCGGGTCGTATCCATAGGGTTTAACCTCTTAATCGATATAATTAAACCGGGTACAGTTAGGTTGAAGTCCAATGAAAAACGCTTAAACGCTTCGTGATGCTTTTGGTAATTTTCCTTGCCCCTGGTTACCCGTACCCCGGATTTTGCCCTGGGCACCATAGAACTGCCATATATATATATATATATATATATATATATATATATATGGGGAGTTCTATGATACCCCGGGTAAAATCCGGGGTACCGCATACCTTAAGTAAGAAAACGCTATCTAGAACTTGAATTGACTGATCTTTCGGACACTATACTATACTCTAACCCATAAAGATCAAAATCTAGGTCTTAATTCTCTAAATCTTATACCCCAAGATCAATTTAATTAGAAACAATAATCGACGGTTATGATTCGTCCAAATATAGGCAAAAAAAGTAATACACCATCTTAGGGTTTATAGTTTATGATTTAGATAATTAGGACCTAGGGTTCACTCATTAAGGGTTAGGGTATAGTATCATGCCCAAAAATCCTGCTAATTCGAGGTCTAGATAGCGTTTTTATACTCAAGGTATGCGGTACCCCGGATTTCACCCGGGGTACCGTAGAAGGCACCATATATATATATATGGGTCACACTCGTATGCTCCTGACACATAGCATGCGCCAGATTATCTGCACCGTTGATCTAATCCAACAAGCATGATTATTTCTAATGAAATTAATTATTAATTTTCAATTATAATTACTTACTACATCCATTAAAAAGTTGATGCGTACAATGTAGTCATCTAACAATTTTTCTTATTACTTTTTGTAGTAAACTACCTTGTTTCTTCCGTAGATAGATTTACCTACCTAAATTTTGTATGATTGATAGTATTTATTCATCTAAATATGTTATGTATTTCTTTATCACCCCAAACGAATCCCACTCCCGAAAAGACACACTACCAAACAACCAAAACAAGAAAAGCTCTCTTCCGCCTCTTCGTCCCTCAGCGGCTCCCCGGACCATCTCTGACCAGCCATATCCAGTTACCAGAAATGGATCAATTGGCGAACGGCAAAAACCCACTCAAGTTCCTCAACTACGGCCGAACCGGCTGGATCGGCGGCCTCCTGGGCAAAATCTGTGAGTCTCAGGGAATCGATTTCACCTACTCCTCCGACAGGCTCGAGAACCGCACCTCCCTCGAGAACGACATCGCCACCATCAAGCCGACCCACGTCTTCAACGCCGCGGGCATCACTGACCGCCCCAACGTCGAATCCCACAAGGTCGAGACCATCAGGACCAATGTGGTCGCCTCGGCACTCTGACCCTTGTCGATGTCTGTCAGGACAAGGGCCTTCTTATGATTAATTACTCCAGCGGCTGTATCTTCGAGTGCGACGACATGCACCCTCTCGGGTCCGGTATTTGGTTCAAGGAAGAGGACACTCCTAACTTCACCGGATCTTACTACTCTAAGACCAAAGCTATGGTTAATGTTCCGCCTCTTGAATGAGTATGCTCTGTTTCCAGTCTAGTTCGAAAATGGCGATTTGGTATTTGGGGTTATGTTTGATTGAATTGGGTTAATGGCGATGTGGATTTTCATCCCATGTGAAGGTTGGATCTAAAGGTTTCTCGTTGTGGATCTATTAGACATTGTCGATAGTCTCGATTTTGCCAACAATTATAAACTCTTTCCAATTCCTTATCCCAGCACGAGATCTCGATTCAACTAAATTCCCTCGGTCCTTCAAGCTCGCTCAGAGAACAAAACAACCATATCAATTTTTCACTCTGGATACGGTGGTGGATTGTCGTCAAATAAATTGATCGACGATGGGCCAACAAGCTGGGAAGGGTTCTGATGAGGATGAAATTGGGGGAAAATATTTACGGCTTGAAGATGATTAACGGGTTGGAATGAATTTTAATGATTGGGAAATTGAAAAGGATTTTCTGGTTTGCTGATGATGATGTCGTCAAAAGATGAAAGGGAGAAAAAAGGATTCAATGGGTTGGATGTTCATACAGCTTGTCGCCTTCTGCAACTTTCTATATGGAATTCTATAATGAAAGAGAAGCTAAAGAAGAACAAACTGGGGTTTGGAGAAAAGTTTGGACCTTATAATAGGTAGAGCAATGGAATAAATCTTGATGGCAGATGTGTTTCTTTAATTATATGAATTTTGGGGGGCTTAAAAGTATGACTAAATGAAATTACGTATTGCAATATCAAATATAGTGCAAAATATTGTTGGGGGACACTATCGCATGTATAATTATTTAAAGGGTGCAAGTAGTAATTATTTTTATTTGATTTTATTATAATTTATAATGACTGTTAGATTAGATCAACGGTGTAAAGGTCTGGCGCATCGTATGTGTCAGGAGCATACGAGTCGTATCCATATATATATATATATATATGTGTGTGTGTGTGTGTGTGTGTATTAGACTCAAAATTATCTAGATATCTCGCTTTTACCACCATAACGCTAGACAACCATTGAGGTTGTCTATCGTTCGATATGTAATATATAAAGAGGCAAATACTAAGATCCTACTATTTATTTCTTATCCTCTCCCGCCGCCCCCTTTATGAAAAAAAAGGGTAGGGATGACATGATCATAACTCGATATGGTTTTATTATGTCATAGTATCGGACGTTATGTTTTTTTTTTTTCCTTCTTTTCATTCTACTTTAGCACCTATGGTTGTAATCAAAGGTATTTAGCCGCCGAAAGGGATTTGGATTTTAGGTCCTTTGGAAATCCAATACACATTCATGATCATCGAGTTTGGACGAACTCTCGACCAATGTTGTAAAGATTAGGACTTTTTAGTGAGAAATTCTTAGTAAAGATACTTCATTATTGGATTTATTCATCCATATTGAAACTTGACACACATCGTAGCCCTCATGATGACTAAATTCTCTAATCTCGACTCATTTCCATTTTGGATGTTTTTTTTATCCAGCCACTTAAATTTAGTATATTATACAATATGTATCAATTGTTAATTCTTGAAGTTTATACTAAACCTCAACCGGTGGTCATTGTTTATATGTTGGCTTAGAATCTCAATCTAAGTCACTCACACACACTATCAAGGATTTTGATATTAACATGGTCGTTGAATGTGTAATTTTCAAAGATTTTAGGTTTAATACACTTGTATATCCAAAACTTTCACGGTTGTGCCAATAATATCCAAATTTCCCGAAATACCACTTATATCCATGTTTTAAAGTTGTTCTTTGCCAAATCTATCCATTTCCCAATATATTTTTGGTTAAATACACTTGTATATCCAAAAACACCTTTAAAGAATGTGAAGGAATTGGATATAAGTGGTATTTCGGGAAATTTGGATATTATTGGCACAACCGTGAAAGTTTTGGATATACAAGTGTATTTAACCAAGATTTTATCACTTATATATTAATAATTGATAAAGAGTGTCGCCAATACACACATATTTCAAGTGCATTTAAAATGTCTTATCATTTAAACAATATAAGTGGATTTCATTTGATTATTTGCATTAACTTATTATCTTATACAACATATATCAATTTGTGTTTCTCGAGTTTCGACGAACTGGCAACCAATTTTGAGAGTTGAGATTATTGGATAAAGATACTTGATTAATGGATAAATATGTTTATCCCAATTGACTATCTTACTAAAAATTGCCAGCCTTTATTTGGTAAATGCCTATGTTAGTAGTTGATATTTCGGGAAATTTGGATATTATTGGCACAACCGTGAAAGTTTTAGATATACAAGTGTATTTAACCAAGATTTTATCACTTATATATTAATAATTGATAAAGAGTGTCGCCAATACACACATATTTCAAGTGCATTTAGGGGTCGTTTGCTTCAAGGATTTGGTACAAGGATTTGGTACCAAAAAACCAAGTATCAAGGATTTAGGGACAATCCTTTGTTTGCTTCATCAAAATTTGTTGAAACAAATCCGTGGGGCCCACGGATTTGGGTTTTTTTTGTCCCAAATCCGTGGGCCCCACAGATTTATAAATCCCAAATGCTTATTAGGGATTTGGCTAGCTGATGAAAAACCAAGAGCGAAAATGACCCTCATATCCCCATTATTTTTCATTAAACCAAAAATACCCTCTCTATCCCTTAACCCTATCTATCGTTCTATTCCCCACAGTCTTGTTCTATTCCCCTCAAACAGAGAAGCTGCGGAAGATTGCAGAATCCAGCTCGGCGACAATCTTCCATCGGAGTTCATCTGGGCTTGGTCAACACAGAACGGCGAACTGGTATCAGGTAAGCACGACTCACCCGCTCTCCAATCTTTCATTCGTATGCAAAAACTCGAGAATGGCGCATTGGGTTGTAGGGTTACAGTCCCCATTAATTTCTCTCCGCCATATCTATCCGCCAGCATCTTTCTGGGTTTGTTTTGGCTCAATCCACATAGTGATTGCTGGTGCTGCTGTTTGTGGTCATTTTTGGCCAATAGTTGTTTAACGTGTTGCTGTTTGTGGTCAATTTGGATTTTTGGTGGAGTTGTAAATGGTAGTTAGTTTTGGACTAGGCTACCAAAGGAATGATTTTAGCTGAGTTTCCTGCCCAATTTCGATCGTGACCACTGTTATCTAGACATCAATGGTTTTAGCTGATGCTATAGATGCTTGGTGGAGAACTACAAATTGTTATTCTTTCCCGAAAATTTGTTTTTCGTTTGAATGCATCATAACTAGAACATATTCTTGTCTACATCGAATGTTCCATATGACATATTAGCTGCTACAAGTAACATAATGCTTTTCTATTTTCTTCCTTGAGAGTTGGATGGTGTTATCTTGAATGAGCAGCTAATTTTTTTTTTTTTCATTTTCTGTTATGTATAGAGGACATGGCTAGATTGACTAGAGTGCCTAATGCACGCAATCGAGAAGCTGCGGCAGCAATTAGGGTTGTCTTAGGGTTGTTGCTTGCTTATTTTTCTTTGTTGCTTGAACTGTTAGAGCTGTTACTGAGGAAAAAGCTTGAGACTAGCAGAGCTCCTAACACCCCTATAGATAACATATTTGATCGTGAACACGATCGAAGACGTTATATCAGGCGCATAATTTCGTTGTCCGATACTCATTGTATTAGTAAGGTTAGGATGAATCGAGCCTTGTTTAGGAAGTTGTGTGACCTTCTTGTTAGTGATGGTGGGTTGAAAGGTACCGACAACGTAGATATAGATGAGATGGTGATGATCTTCTTGATAACAATTGGCCACAACACAAAGAACAGGATATTGTAAATGGATTTTTGTCGATCGGGTCAAACTATATCCAAAGTATTTCACAAGGTCCTTCGTGGCGTTCTTCGACTCCATCACATCCTACTTCCAAAGCCTGAACCTATAGGGGAAAACTCAGATGATGTGAAGTGGAAAACTCCATCACATCCTACTTCCAAGGTCCTTTGTGCAAGGTTAGATCATACTGTATTTAGCCATTGCAAGTGTTTGGTTGTGGAAACATGATCATTTTGCAGAAGTTCTGCTTTCATCCCAACAAGTGTTAGAATTTTGGGTTAGAATTTTGGGTTTTGGTATAACTGGTTGTAACTGAACAGATGAAGTTATGCAATTTATGTCAATCCTCTTGTTTATGTTTTGGTGTGCTTGTTGTCATTTGTTTTGGTTATGCAACAGATGAAGTTGGGGGACTTAAGGACCTGTCTACTCTTGCTTTATCCCAAAATCTGCTCTCTGGAACACTGCCATCATCCATTTGTAATATGTCTTCTCTTGAGTTACTTTCTGTTGCGAACAAAGCAGTCTGTATATTAAAGGAAAGGGTGTTTTCATTCACGCTCATTGAACACACAAAGAGGCAATACATGTTAACTGATTCCTTCCATAACTTGGCTACAAACAACATGAACTACAACATGTGCTACATCTAATCACTTCCTACTTGTACCCTCTAACTCTAGACGTTCTAACTTCTGTTTGATCAGTTCCAGCTCAATAAACAAGTCAGTCTGTTCCTGTTTTCTAGCTCCATCTTTCATTAATCTCCCCAACAAACTGCGAAGCTGTCCATTTTCAGCTTCTAACCTTGAAAGCTTTCCAGATAGCGAAGTCGTGGCTTTGAATACTGCAACTCTAATGTCATAACACTCAAAATAATCACACGCCTTGTTATTCTCTGAGCGGTTGAACAGTGGGCAGCCAAAAAACTTGCGATTCGGGTTGGCCGAGGTACGTGAAATTCTTCTAGCCGCTCTTAGTCCGCAATCACATAGCACTACTTCCTCATCGTAATGGAATGCATCCGAAGCTATTATCTCCTTTCCTCTACTAGCCATGAGTTGTCTGGAATTGGAAATTGGATTTTCTTAAAAAGGAGAAATCATCATCCACATCATAAATCCAGAATCCAAATGGGAAGAGAGGCGACGTACCTGCTGCCGGAATGGAGAGTACAACAGCGAACGGCCAGATATGGGCAAAGGGAGAAGGAACGGACAGATATGGGAAGAGAGGCGACGTTCCTTCGTGGTTCCTTCACAGTCTTCCTTCGTGGCTGCTGACGAAAAGAGGGGTTGAAGAAGGGAAACAATAAACGGCAGCAGAAACTTTTAATAGGTTGAAGAAGGGCAATAAGGTAAGTGCAGTATTTTTATTCAAAAACCCAAATCAATAAATCCATGATCAAAATGAGTGATCAAACAAAGGATTTGTCCAAATCCACAATGCCCCAAATCCCAAATAAAACCTTAGGTTTTTAAATCCCACACTATAGGAAAAAACCTCATTTTCAAATCCTTGAAGCAAACGACCCCTAAAATGTCTTATCATTTAAACAATATAAGTGGATTTCATTTGATTATTTGCATTAACTTATTATCTTATACAACATATATGAATTTGTGTTTCTCGAGTTTCGACGAACTGGCAACCAATTTTGAGAGTTGAGATTATTGGATAAAGATACTTGATTGATGGATAAATGTTTATCCCAATTGACTATCTTACTAAAAATTGCCAACCTTTATTTGGTAAATGCCTATGTTAGTAGTTGATATTTCGGGAAATTTGGATATTATTGGCACAACCGTGAAAGTTTTGGATATACAAGTGTATTTAACCAAGATTTTATCACTTATATATTAATAATTGATAAAGAGTGTCGCCAATACACACATATTTCAAGTGCATTTAAAATGTCTTATCATTTAAACAATATAAGTGGATTTCATTTGATTATTTGCATTAACTTATTATCTTATACAACATATATCAATTTGTGTTTCTCGAGTTTCGACGAACTGACAACCAATTTTGAGAGTTGAGATTATTGGATAAAGATACTTGATTGATGGATAAATATGTTTATCCCAATTGACTATCTTACTAAAAATTGCCAACCTTTATTTGGTAAATGCCTATGTTAGTAGTTGATATTTCGGGAAATTTGGATATTATTGGCACAACCGTGAAAGTTTTGGATATACAAGTGTATTTAACCAAGATTTTATCACTTATATATTAATAACTGATAAAGAGTGTCGCCAATACACATATTTCAAGTGCATTTAAAATGTCTTATCATTTAAACAATATAAGTGGATTTCATTTGATTATTTGCATTAACTTATTATCTTATACAACATATATCAATTTGTGTTTCTCGAGTTTCGAAGTACTCGCAACCAATTTTGAGAGTTGAGATTATTGGATAAAGATACTTGATTGATGGATAAATATGTTTATCCCAATTGACTATCTTACTAAAAATTGCCAACCTTTATTTGGTAAATGCCTATGTTAGTAGTAGATGACACGTGATGTTTACAGTAGATTGATAGACCGATAATTATACATGTTTTCACTCCTATTCTGAAGCCGTTTGTGATGAGGAATCTCGTATTTTAAGCCGATTTCACGCTAGGTTGTGTGTTTATGTCATATTTCAGGTCCTGGCGTTGGAATCGAGGCGAAGGAACGAGTTCCGGGTCGAAAGGAGCGAAGATTGGACAAAGGATGCTGCTGGGCCAAAATACCCGGTCAAAGGAAGAAATACCCGACCGGGTATATTCTGGCCTCGACCGGGTATTTCCTCCTTCGGGCACCCGTGAGAAACAGAAGGGGGCCCGGGCGATGGCGTAAAATCCCCGGTCGGGGATTTTGGTGGTAGACCGGGGATTTTCCCCTTTAGTGGAACGGTGCGTTTCCACAATACCCGGTCGAACCATAAAATACCCGACCGGGTATTTCGACCGGGTATCGCGGGGTCAGCTGATAAAAGAGGAAGAAGGCCAATTTTCAAAGGGTTCCGAGTTTTTGAGAGAGAAATCGATTCCTAGAGAGAGAAAGCGACGAACCAGAGTTCCCAAGCGCCATAGATCGATCTTCAACACCATTGGAGCCCGGTTTGAGCTTGGAGAAGTGCGATTAAACGTCCAGGAGCAGGAATCCAACTTCACAGTATGATTTCCGTGTCTGAATCTGCTTTTGCTTCTTTCTCTATGGAGTAGTTTCCCCATTCATCTGGGTATGGAGAACCCTAGATTTGTATGCTAGGTCTGATTGTATGAACCCAAGTACAGAGTTTGTGAATTGATTATATTCGATTGAGGTTTGAATGATTGAATGACTTGAATCCTTATCAAATTCCTGTTGTTTCTGCTTTAACCTAGAATGATAATATCTGCCTAGGTTGATAGAGTACCCTTAATCGAAGGTGGCGAATTGGTGACTTTAGTCGAGGAGCCAATTCGCTATTCTGTACCGAAGTTAATTCGGTAGTGGAGGTTTGGTTCTTTAGGGCCTCAATCTGTTTACTCCGGTGGAGGTTAGTCGCCCGCTAGAGACTCAGATTGAGAGGGTCTGGAGACCTTTAGTCGAGACTTCAGGCTAATTGAGAACCTTCCGCAGTATAACTTTCATGAAAACTGAACTTGGTAATTACAATCCGACTTAACTGCAGTCTAGGGGGAACCATATCCGGGTGACCTCTCTTGACTTGACAACAAACCGTTTACTTGCTTTGTGTTTTGTTTGCTTGAGTTTCACTAAAAGTTCACCGCTAAATAACAAGACTTCACCGAGTAGTCATCACATCTAGGACCCGGGTTGACATTAAAACCCGACCCGCTATACTACGCTTTAGGAAGTGGTTATACTTGGCCATTTTCTAGAGTGACAGTAACAGCGAGTCAAGTTTTTGGCGCCGTTGCCGGGGACGGCTAGGTTGTTGAAGAAAAGTGATTTCTGTTACTTTAGCATTTTCATTTTCTCGCATTGAGTTTTTGTTTCTCCCACTTGTGCCTTCACGGGGTTTGCGTTGCTTGATTGTGTGCAGATAGTGCATGACCCGTAGCCAGTCGGGAAGTTTACTGCCGTTGAATCCTGAGATTGAGCGCACCTGCAAACAACTTCGGAGACAACTGCGAGCTAGACTGGCTACGGTGGAGCGCCGAGACGGCCAATTGACCAGCGACTCCGAGGACGAGCACGAGATGGAAGGCGATCAGAACCCGCCTACCCAGAACCAGATCCTGGGGAACGACCAACATCCCCAGGGAGCTGGCCACCATCATCATCCACCACCACCGGGTCCCACCTTGGAGTACTACTATACTCCACGGATTGCTGACATCCGCCCGGTCATCCTCTATCCGCCCATCCCTGCAAACAACTTCGAGATCAAGCCATGCTGGATCCAACTCATCACATCCTCTATCCAGTTTCATGGCTTGAAGGATGAGGAAGCCCGGGTACATCTTTCCCGTTTTCTGCAGCTGACGAACGGGTTCAAGTTGAATGGTGTTCCGGATGACGCAATCCGCCTTCATCTCTTCCCCCATTCTCTGGCGGGGAATGCTAAGAGGTGGTTGGAGACCCAGCCCCCATTGTCCATCACCTCTTGGGACGATCTGGCTGAAAAGTTCGTGCACCGGTATTATCCGGCATCGAAGACCACGGAGATACAGCTGGAGATCACTCACTTCCGCCAAGAGCCGGATGAGTCCCTTCGTGATGCATGGGAGCGGTACATAGGATACTTCTGGCAGTGTCCCCATCATGGTTTCAGCGATGCTTTCACAGTGGGGAACTTCTACAGTGCATCACCCCAGACAGCCAGAGGGTGATCGAGTCTCTATGCCCAGGAGGGGATATCCTTACTAAGACTCCACCCGAGCTGAACCAGATGATCAGTACTTTGGCTGTCCGCGATCATTCCTGGGGGCAGAGCAGCAGAGGCAGGCACTCCCGGGACCGTGGTGTGCATGCTATGGAGGCCAGATCCGGGTTAGAGCAGCAGGTGCTGAGTTGGTGCAGACACTGAAGCAGCCTAACAGTCTCCTTCCGGGCCGAGGTGTAGCTGCGCCTCCAGTAGCTCAGTGCCAGTGGTGTGAGAGTCCAAACCATCTGGTGGAGGACTGCCAGGCTATGCGGGAGTCCTCTACTCCCCAAGAACAGTTGGCCTTCATCGCCAATGCTCGGCGCCTCGATCCATACAGTAACACATACAATGAGGAATGGCGCCAGCACCCCAACTTCGCCTGGAGCAACAACACCAATAAACCACCTGGTTTCCCAGCACCAGCAGGTGGTTTTCAGTAGAGGCAGCCTTTCCAGGCTAGACAGGGGCAGCCATTCCAGCAGCCCCAGCGTCAGTATGCCGAGCCAGCAGCAGCGCCAGCTCCCGATAATCAGATGACCGAGCTGAAGAACGTTTTGGCGGCATTCATGACCACCAGCCAGGCGAATATCACGAGGATGGATCAGGCCATAGCTTCACTGGAGGCAGGGCAGAGGAACCAGGGTGCCATTTTGCAAGATTTACAGAACCAGGTTGGCGCCATAGCTCGCCAGATTACTACTCGGGCCCCGGGGACTCTACCTGCCACCACCACCCCCAATCCACGGGACCCGCATGAGACCGCACATGCCATTTTTACCCTGAGCGGCAGGCCTACATCAGCTGATCCTGCCTCGACTAGGCAGGAGGAACCACTACCTGCTTCAGCACTTCCGGCCGGTGATGCAGAAGTGCGGGTGGAGAAGGAAGCCCCTGCTCCCAAGCCACAACCAGTGGTGAAGGAGCACGTACCCCAGCTTCCCTTCCCCACTCGCCTTCACAAAGACAAGTTGGAGACTGAGTTTGCCAATTTTATGGCAATGTTGAAGCAGCTCAACATCAGCATACCATTTGTGGAGGCACTGTCGAAGATGCCCAAGTACGCTAAGTTCATGAAAGATCTCTGCACCAACAAGAAGAAACTTGGGGATCTCTCGACAGTGCTGCTGAGCGAGGAGTGTTCTGCCATCCTGCAGAATAAGCTGCCCGAAAAGCGCA